TATTTGAAAATAATCCATTCTGCTTTTGCTTGAGAATCTTTACATATCAAAGACCATCGCTTACAACATAATGCCAAATTGATGGGATATTCAACACATTTAAAAATAATTATCATGATTTCATTAGGCAGGCTATGTTGGAAATATTTCTTTGTCATCTACAGTATTATCATAATAAATATATTTTGATTAGACATTTTGAAATGTATTACTCGGGCAATGATTAAGATCGCTGCCAAATGATCTTTTCAATAGTATTTTAATTATGTTGATTATTATATATTATTCATTAAAATGTGGCTCACTATAATTATGTAACTACTCCAGTAAGTTATGAATGATTTCCGCTAGTTGGGGAATAATAATAATGATTGTCGATCATTCTTAATAAAATACCGAAAATTAAACAATAATAGCTTCCCAGCTCTAAAAAGCTTGTCTGGTATATTCAGCTTTGTTGGCACTATTCAAAGAATGCTTGGAAATGGAATAAAAACTATACATCAAAAATGTATTATTTTTGTTCCATTTTATACCTATAAGCAACTCCTTTCAGAACGTTCTTTGAACAATGTTGACAAACTTGAACAAAAACAAGTAAGCTTTTTTATAGAGAAACTACTAAATTTAAGCACATAAAATTATATTTATTGAATCCTTTTCAAATAATAAGTAGAGCCATTTGTTTTTTATTTTTCATATAAGTTAAAACCGATTAACTTTGAGAAAATAAGGACAATGACACCACTATTTTAAGAACACGATGGGAATTCAATAAATATAATTTTATCTGTACAGAGTTAATAGTTGAGAATTATTATCGTTTATAGTTGTTTTCATAAATTCTGAAACATCTTAAAAAAATGCTGATGAATGAATTGATCTTGACTTAAGTGACTTATTAATTCCATATCGGTGATTTATCGATTCGGTCATCAGGAAATTTTCCAACAGTCCCAGAATTTATAAAAATAATGTAAATTTTCTATGTTTATATTATTAAGAGCAACTTACAAATATTGGAATTTACTATGTTTACAGTAAATTTGATCTCCGAAGCATTTTTACATGGAAGGTTATTATAGTAATAATTTAGTGGTTAGGCGAGATCTTCGTCGGTTTATTGTAAGTGGTTTTTTTTTTTTTACTAGTTTTTTTTTTGTTACGGGTACTAACTTCTC